TCACTAACGCTAGCATTAGCCCAGGGTACACCTGGGATCAGCCTCTCACCTGGAGTTCAGGTGTTCCCCAAATCACATGCACACGTGTCTCCTGTTGATCCACCTGTGTAGGCGTCCTGTGAGTTCTCATGCTAGAAAACATCCGCAAACCAAATCCTCTGAGCGGTTTCGTGGAGGAGCCTCCATCCTAACCACCAAACTGCCTCCACCAACCACGTCAGTGTGCATCCACCTGAGCCTTCTTACCTCAGAGCGTCACATCCTGCTGCAGCTGCATCGCTGACGGCACAATTTGACGCCCTGGAGTGCAAACACGTCGGCCGAGCTGTGACGTCAGCTCGCTGTGCGCTTCTTTGCTTTAGCGGATGTAGACGGTGGGAAGAAAGTAGTCCCTAAATGAAACTGCAGGGTGTGTGTTTTTCTTTGTTTTTAAGTAAGTGGGTGAGATACCTACAGTGGCCCTGAGAGACGCTGCAAAAGCACACAAAACACAAGAGAAATAGGAAAAAACAGCACAAGGGAAGTGTTTCTGGGGAGACAATAACCCGACGGACCAGTTGCAGGAACCAAAATATGCTAAGAATCGCGCCAGGAGACACTTCAAAGATGTGGAGGATCTATCGGTTTTGTGAGGAAAGAAAAGATGAGAGGTGTGTTAGCCTAACTGTTAGCCTAGGAATCTGTCATCAGTATTATATGAATCCATCCGCTTATCCTTTTCAGGGTCGCGGGGGGTGCTGCAGCCTATCGCAGCTGTCATAGGGCGAGAGGCGGGGTACACCCTGGACAGGTCGCCAGTCTGTTGCAGGGCTGACACACAGGGACAGACATTCACTCGCACATTCACACCTATCCTCACAAGCTGCATGTCTTTGGACGGTGGGAGGAAGCCGGAGTACCAGAGGGAACCCACTCAAACACGGGCAGAACATGCAAACACAGGAAGACCCCGGCCTGATGGTGGAATTGAACTCAGGCAACAGTGCTAACCACCGTGCCATCGTGCGTATGAGTCATGAGATTAAAACACACTTACCGAGCATGTTTTGGTTCCCGCAACTGGTCCGTCGGGTTATTGTCTCCCCAGAAACACTTCCCTTGTTTTTTTCCGTTGTGTTTTGTGTGCTTTTGCAGCGTTGTTCTTCTTGCTGGTGTTTTCTTAAGTTGCAGTCCGTTTGGCCTTTCAGGGCCACCGTAGGTAGCTGCAAAAAAAGTGTTTCTGACACTGCACTAA